AATTGACAAATAAAGTTATAATTACACTAATTAAACTAACATTTTACAATTTTACAAACTCTAACTTAAAATATAACAATTAACAAGTCAATTAACATTTTTATAAATAAATTTAAAAGATTAGTTGAAATTTGTAAAACTACACTTTTAAAATAATGGAGAAAAAAAAAACACAAATACCGGAGAAGTTGGAGTCGGCGGCGCCGGAGTTGAAAGCCAGAACGGCGAGGGCGGCGGCCAGCCGGCCGGGAGACAGGTGGGCAGCGCCGCAGCGGCAAGAGGAGGGCTGGAGGGGGAAGGGGTTAGGTTTTGTAATTTGATATAATTTGGTAAGATTTGTGTTAATTGTTTGAATAGAATCAGATAAAATCCCGTCTGGCCGTCTCCCCCATTAATTGGGCTTCCCCCATGGGCCTAATGTGTTAATATTTTTTAACAGAATAAATGGGCTGTAAATGGGCTTAAATGTATTAAAAAAAAAACAGACGGGGAGAGCTTCTTCTCCATCCCTGACTCCCTCTCCCTGTGCGCAGATTTCATGGAAGGGCGCCGCCTCCGGCCGGCGACCTCGGCCCCTATACCTATTAAAAAAAAAAATTATGGGATGGCCGAGGCCACTCCTTGCCATAGCATGGTTTCGCCCCTGACGTCACTAGTGACCTCTCCAACCTCAACTTAGACACATAATATAATAAAGAAGAAATGATTCATCTCGGTAATAAAGTATGGACATTTTTTATTTTGGTGAATACATTACTACGTTGACTAGGAAACAAAAAATTCCTTCTTAAAAGCCTTTTTCATGTGTCAAAAATTGAAAAGAACTTAATCAGTGTGTCACAGTTTGCTAAAGGCAATAGTGTCTTTTTTGAGTTCCACCCTTCATTTTTCTTGTTAAGAATCAAGTTTCAAAGGAAGTTTTACTCAAGGGAGCTGGTAAAGATAGTCTCTACAATTTTGTCTTCAAACCAAGCCCTGTGAACCTAGGAAGAATGGATCTCAACCTATCAACCTCAGTCCTTACGTGTTTTCTACTGACTTTAGAAATAAAGAAATCAAGATGTTTGGCACAATAGATTTGGTCAGGCTAGTTTGGACATTATAACAAAGTAGTGTTCCATTTATTAAAAATGAAAAGAATGCTTTATGTTGTGTCAGCATGAAATCCAAGATGCAAAAATTACGTTTCTTTGCCCATGAACCTAAAAATTATGATGTTATTGAATTCATTCATTCTCATCTTTGGGGTCCTGCACCAATTAAATCCATTTAAGGTTACCAATATTTTGTCTCTTTTGTTTATTATACGAATAGAAATACTTAATTTGCTCAAACAAAAATAAGACACTCTCAGCTTTTGTAGGGTATGTTGTGTTGCTTGAATCCATTTGGGTACTACTTGTGGAAATTTGTTGCTTTTGAGTTTNCACGTAAAATATTGTTATTCTTACAACCGTACGTATATGTATGTTCATATATACTTATAGACATAAAGCCGTATTTTCCAAATCCAAACACAACTTCGATTCTTGCACCTATCATTAATTATCCAATTATGTATTTAACCCGTCAAATATATATAATGTATTACGTGTAATGCCCATTTTTATATATCCATTATAAATAAATCAAACAATGCTTTCTTTTGTTCTTCACCCAAAAAACAAAAAATAATAAAACACATCCTGGCTGATCCATTCTGCAACACGTGTCCACCTTCTTCTTCCACGTGGCCACACAACTGCTCACCCCGAAAATTCACCGGCGTTCATATATGGAAACAGAGACGGGACACCAGGTCGGCGAAAAAATGAAAAAGAGAACGAGAGACATGGCCGATGACATGACAAAAACGGCGGCGCCGCCGCCGTGGGAGGTCCTCCACCTGGTCGCTGACCGCCTCGACCCCAAGTCCCTGGCCGCCGCTGCCTTCGTCAGCAGGTCCTGGTCGGCCGCCATGTCCGCCGACCACTTCTGGGGCCCCTTCTGCCACGCCGCCTTTCCATCCCTCTGCTGCCTCCGCGCCACCGCCGCCGTGCCATACTCCAGGATCTACTCCCTCGGCGTTGCCGCCAGCGAGCGTCTCCGCCGGAGCCCGCCGGAGCCGCGGATCTCGGTGGGGGACCTGACGTTCTCCGTCGACGCCGTCCTGTTCGACGGCGGCGGCCGCGTCGCCGCCGAAGTGGTCCCCGCGGCCAGGACTCGGCCAAGCGCGTGCGGCGTTTTCGAGTTCGAGATGGACGTCGCCGCCGCCGCCGGCGGGGCGGCGGCTTTCACGGCGGAGGACAGGCTGAGGATAACGTGGAACGTGGCGTTTGGGGGGTTTAAGAGCGTTTTCACAGCGATGGAGTGCGGGGGGAAGGGGAGCTTCGTGGTGGGGCAGGGGTGGTTCTCAAAGGAGCTGCCGGCGGCGGAGGGAGGGGTGGTCGGCGGAGAAGGGAGTGGGCTGGTGGCGGAGCTGAGGTTGGGGCTGAGGGAGGTGGGCGGCGGGAGGATGGTCGTGGAGAAGATCACCGTCGGGATTATGAGCGCCATGAGCTGGAGGTTCGTGCGTGTGGATGACGCGCTTAGGTACTTGGAGTATTTTCTTTTGCCGGAAAATGGAAATTGATCTTTGTTTAGTATATGTGGTATGTGATATAGAAGAAAGATAAGAATGGAAGGGTGCTGCAAAATGTAATTAGTACTTCTTTTGATAGTTATGTTAAATTGTTAATTCATGATTTAGTTTGAATTTGATACTTTCTATTTGCTTTCAAACTAACTAGTGTAGTACCCGTGCACAGCACGGTGGGGTTGTTTCCTCAAACTTTTTTTCTAAATTTTATTTAAAATATTTTTGTTTATAAATTAATAATTTGATTATAATGAAAAAAAAAAGAGAGATAAATACAAAGTATAAAAAAAAATCATATATAATTAAACACTTCTCTATACACAACATTATTGGTTTGATTTTCTTTCAAACCTTCTTCTCCACAAATTAAAATTTCAGACTCTTTCTATTAGTAACACGGGAGACATCGACATATAACTGGCCATGACTAAACACTGGTTTCTTCAAGAATAAGCCAACATGCAATAAGGATTGACCTTGACTCTTGTTTATAGTCATTGCATACGAAACCATAATGGGGAACTGCTTTCTTTGGATTTTGAATGGTACTATATCAGAAGGAGTTATGGTCACCGAGGTATCAAAATTTTATCACCTACATGATCGCCAGTAGGAATTTTACACTCGAGAACATGATTGGAGAGTTTGGTCACAACCAATCGTGTACCATTGCAGAGTCCCACTGAGTGATCCATGTTCCGCAACAACATAACTGGAGTTCCGGCCTTCAAATTCAACTCATGATTCGGTGTTCCAGAACACTTGATAGTATTCAAGAACTCAGGAGTATGGACTTGTGCCAGGAAGTTGGTATTGGAGTCAGATTTACACGTACTGTCTGAGCTTAAATGCGTGCGTTCTTCAGTCAAATTCAATGATGACATGTATGCATTTATAGATTCTACGACCTCTATTGTTGGCGCAAGTATAGCCCTGTCTTTCAAGTAACTTGGATCATCGGTTGCATTCTTGAACATCGGATACGTGTTTTCAACAATTTTTGCAATTGGATCATTGGACGGATCTAGTAATAGATCATTTCGTATGTCTATCGGAGCACATCCATCATTTGTCCCCCCNCCCCCCCCCCAATGTTCCATCTCCGATGCTCGCTATCCAATCAGCAAAAGCAGCTAGCTCGTCACGTTCATTGGAATCGCCAATGCTCTGATGACGCATGTTCTTTGTAAGCCTAAACACAGTACAGTCTCCCAAATGCTAGAAGAATTAATAGCAGCATTAACAATCTCCTGACGAATCCCGTGCGATACACGGGTAAGAGATTTTCATTAATATTTATAAATTAAAAATATTCATTAAATAAAATTTTTAAATTAAAAATATGGAACCAATATGTAATACAATTTACCTATATTAATTTATTGAAAATGTTATGTGAAATTTAGATTTTGCAAAATCACATAAAATATATTTTAAAATTAGTACACAACTCGTACAGTGAATGTAACTGATAATAAATTACATTATATTCATTTCAAAATAAGTGTTATTTTAAAATTTTTATTCAAAAATTTGATTTGACTACAATGTGATTTCATAAAATAAATATCTTGATAAAAATTTATCATATATTTCCAAATAAAACTCATACCACTTATTTTGTTTTCAAAATTTTCAACTATACTTTCATCCATAGTAAATAAAATTAATACCATTTAAATTCGTACATTATTACTAAAATAAAATCGCCCACTTTATACCATAAAATCAGACATTTATTAATAACAACACATTTCTTACAAAAAAATAAAAATAAAAATGGCCATCAAATATCTAAAATGAAATTACCCACTTTATACCAAAACGGGATTTATTAATTTTGCCAACTTTATATCATAAATTGATTAATTAATTTATAGAGACGGAAAATTTTTAAAAAATTTCGTGATACTGATATAAGGGGCTTCAATTCGAAACGGTGTTTTTTTTTTTTATTATTATTATTATTCAAGTGTCCAATATCTCATCTCATTAGCTAAAAAACCCACAACAGAATCCCCATACACATAACACAGCCATATGTTATTAAACTCCTGAACCCACAAAAAAAGGTAAATAAATATCTCGTAAAACAAAACAATAATGACATTTCATAGTAACTCGTCTAACATTTGATGTCCTCACTCATCATCATTTCTCGCTGCAGCATTGAGAGCATTCAACCACTCGATCAGCTTGGTCTTCCTCTCTTCGCATGGGGTCAGCATGAATGGTTGCATGTACCTTCTTGTACAAAGCCTCTATGTTATCTTCTTCAACACCCTTCTTGATATACTGGCTAAACATGGACTGAGACTTCTCGGGTTCATCTTCCATATAGAGAAGCAGTGGCATTTTTAGTCATATCAAGGCAGTTGCATTTTTATTTATATTGAAAAAGTAAATAATATAAAACATGGAAAGAAGCGCTAACATCACCAGAATAAATTCTCGACTGGTAGCTATTGAAAATCCTCTCTAACCAATAATAGTTCTCCTGGACAATGCTGAAAATCAGCACAAAGAGTGGTGGACCATTATATATACATTTTGAAGTATCCTAGTTAGTTAAGTGGTACGAAAAAGCATAAAAAATTTTATGGGTCATTTTGCCCCATAGAACCATAATATCACTATAATTATGAGTGGATTTCGCGAATGAACCTGCAATCCATTTTCATGCGAGACGACAAAGCCATTTGTTTTTAGTTGATTATTGTATATTTTGTTATGAATATTTCTTATAGTTATGTATATTGATGAGTTTTGTTTCATTTTTATTTGTAATTCTGTTGTGAGTTTGTGAATAAATGTTTGGTTTTTGTGTGTATAAGAGTATTTATGTTATAAACAATGAAAATAAATTGCATATAAATTTACGGTCTGTATTCTTCAATAATAAACTAAAAATAAACTATATATAAATTTATAGTTGTTGTTCTTTTATTGGTTTGTAAACATATAATAAACTAAATATAAAGTTACAAATAGTCTAAAAATAAACTAAGTATAAACTAAAAAACAAAACTGGTTTATAAACATAATATAATCTAAAAATAAACTAAATATAAACTTACAATATAAAAAAAGAAAAAAAAAACTGGTTTATAAACCTAACATAATCTAAAAATAAAGTAAATATAAATTTACAATTAAAAATATTAGTAATTTGGCACTAAAAAGCTACTGCCTTATTAATTATCTGGTCATGCTTTGCACGATCCAAACACAAAACCATCGGACGGAGAAAGATCGTGGATTAAAACCATTGACCGCTTCTCCACCCACCCTCTCCGCCTGAGCAATGTCATTAGCTTCTATTCCTGCAATTATCGAATTAAATTTTCGCAGAACCAAATCTCCGAGTCGTACAGCAACAGCACTGTTTTCCTAACCCCCAAAACTTTGTCGAAATTTTACCCAGATGCAGCCTAAACAAATGGATATAACATCTCACATAAGAAAAAACTATCATCTAAAAGCCTTTTATTCAATCAATCGTGTCCGGTGAAAATTCATAAACAATAGTGGAAAGAAAAATGAATTAAAGATTGGCCCCATCAACATTTAAAAAAGAAGAAGAATCCAGCACTCGTGGCAGCACCACCAGGTCGGAAGATTCACTGGGGCTGATGGGTCCCTCAACATTGGCAGCGGGAGCAAGAGATGGAGTGTCCAGCGGCAGGAGATGCCTTCGGAGCAGACAAAGGGGAGCTGCTCGGCAAGTTGGATTAAGTTGCATTAATGTAAAATTTCATTGCCTTTTTGTCTGTATATTTTTATGTTAGTGGAATTTTAACATATGAGGCAAATAAAATTACCTAATTATCGTCTATGTGCTATTAAGCTTCTTATGTCGTATATGTGCAAAAAAACTCATTATAATGTATATAGATGTGTAAATTAGCCTAAATGATTGGATAAAGCACAATGATTTCATGAGCGCACCTTTCCATGCTTAAAGCGGAGGACTTGTACTATCTTTGTTTCCAGAAGCTTGCTTGTTAATCCAGTCAAGTGAACATCTTCCATCTGCAGTATAAAGGTATAGAAGACAATGATCTTCTCTATAAGTGAAAGCAATATATATGCCAAATTCCTACTCACATCAAAATGTTCCCAAAAGAAAAGTACACAAATCCCCATTCCCGGTCCAAATTTAAATCATTTTTGTGAAGGTGTAACTGATTACAATATTTGCATTCTTAAGTTCAACCGGAAAGCATAATTGGACTGAACACTGAGCTTGCACCATGGGGATCCGCACAATTTTCCTGTAAGCACGTATGTTCGCGATGAGGTGGATATTTATGCATGTACAGCAAATGAATGGTTCCACACACAAACTACCATCATTTTTAAAAACTTGTAGACTGGATATATAGGTATTATTTCCCAGCCAAGGGTACATAGTCGAGACAAAAGCAATACTCAATATACAAATTTATGTGCTTTATCTATTCATAACCGACGAAGAGATTATTTATCAAGCAGCACCCTATCTGTCAATAAATCAAAAGGTAACTAAAAGTTGACCAACCTAATTACAGTGGACGGAAAAGTAAATGGCAAGCCATTGAGTTCATCGCGTTTGAAATTTAGGATTGGCTTCGGAGGTCTTGGGATCCCGCCCTGCATAAATTACTTAGAAAACTCATAAACAGAGAAGACACATCAATCACCAGAAATTATTAGAAAGATTCACAACACTTAACAAATACTTCAGTACCAGAGGGCAAGCAGTGGCAGGATCAATATTACCAACAACAACCACAGAAAAAGTTGATGGATAAGCAGTTGTTAAAATACTCACAAGCTCTGAAGGGGTCAACTTTCCATCTGTCACTAATTTTAATAGGCTGAAGGAAAAATACCCATATTAGTATCAGAATATAAAAAATAAAAAAAGTAAATAGCAAAGGATAGATAAATTACCCTAAAGAAATAAGAATTTCCATAGTTGATCTCCCTGACATGGTTAGCAAATGCAGTATAAGGATATCTCTCTTGAGCACGAATAGATTCCTCTGACATTTGCAAAACTTTTTTCACGTCTTCTTCTCCAAGTTGTAGATTCGTCACGAAGTGTTGATAGACCAATTGGCGGGAAAGAACATAATATAAAAGATAAAATTAGTTTGATATGCATGATAATAAAGATTGATAAACTTGAATGACATTCATGATCAGAGGCGGATATACATGTATTTCTAATCCATGCAAAGTTAAAAGGTCTCAAACTGTAATTTACAGAAGAAGCAACTAAAACCTTGACAGCACATGGAAATGAAAGTTTGACGTGAACTTGAATTAGAAATTACAGGGGTCTGGAGATATTAAAACAAAAGATTGACTGGGAAATATTGAAGTCTCAAGAACTCCATTAATTAAGCTCTGATAACATCGCAAGCTAATCCTCAACTTCCACAAAACCACCACAAAGCCAATAAATAAATATTAAAAAAGGGTTTAAAAAACCAAGAAAAAAGGGATTCATAACACCAAAATCCAGAATTTAGGTGACCTGAATATGATAGAGGCCATGACGGATTCTCCAGTTTCACCATGAAGCTTTTTTAGCGCTGAAACTCTTCGGCCAATTTATGCCTAGACCCATCCTTTCTTACATCCTGCACGAACGATGTCGAAGTTATTTGTTCACCATATCCACAAGAACCACAGATACACGCACAACACAGTCGGGATGCGTCAAAATTAGGACATATGAAGATAAAGAACTAATTTTTACCTACGATACAATGGTATATCCGAACATTCCTTCAAGGGAGAAGTAGAAACACAGGAAGAAAACGATGCGGGCCTCGACCTGCCTTCGAGTCTATCAGCTCCATCACCAATTTCTCCTGCTCCGCCGCCGCCATGAACCTGTCGTTCCCGTCATCCAGCGGGCAGCGCCACCCCCATCAACTCCACCATGAAGACCATGTTCATAAAAAATAGCATTGATCGAAGGCAAATTCCCTGGTTGAAGAGAGAAGTCAGTAAAGAACTTAATAAAGAATAGTTTTAACGTTTGATAATGCATTATCAAGATGCTAGCATTTTTTGTAAATGAATCACCAATTATATAAAAATACCAAATCCGAATTAAGCTCGTGAAGATAATATGCAATCATTCGAGTTCCTGCACGTGAATTACAGTCTATCAATGGCAAGAACAAATGCTACTCAATTAACAGCAACCTTAGCTGAAATCTTATCATAAAAGAAATATTTCTGTAACTTCAGCTCATGGGCAATCGATTATACAAAAACCCGAAATTGGAACTGAAATTTACAAACACGTGAAGAAAGAACATTCACAAATTCAATCCAAATAAAAAAGCGATGTGCAGAAAGCAATTAGGGTTCCGACATAATCAATCACACAAACTGAATTCAGTTACCTATATGTAGCCAGAGAAAACATATACAAAATCTACGAAATTTTGGGAAAAACAAATATGAAAGCCTTAAAAAGTTCTTACCCCGAATTCGTGCTCCACCGTCGGCCATCACCGCCGGGTACAGAGCGCCGCTCCTCGGCATCCACCTGGCCATCCCCGTCGCGTCAGTCTTCCCGATCATCGCCCGCAACTCCTCCTCTGGCACGCGGATCCCGGATTCTGCAGCGACTCGCCGAGATACTCCCGGTTGATCTTGTCGTTGCCGTTCATCGAGGTAGGAGAAGATCCAGTGGAACTACTGCGTGCCCATCGCTGGAGCCCTATTTAGTCAACAGAATAAGTTTGGATTTTTATCGGTTCACCAATAATTTTGGAAAAGATATGACTAAAAGATAATCTGATATAATTGGCCGCAATATTTGGCATTAGATATGAGAAACATTCTATACATGTGCCGCAATATTTGCTTGTAGTTGTAATTTGAATTTTAAAATATGCGGATAGATTCATTTTTTTGGCCAAAATTATGCTATTTAGGCGGGAACTGAAATCTTTTTTTTTTTCTGATTTTCCACATGATTTTTTCAAAAAACTATCATTCCCTCTTTATATATTAATAGATGTAATTAGAATTCATAAAAAAATATAAAAAATTGTCTACGCATAAGAGAGCCTATCCACATAGGCCTACATAGGCGCCGCTCAACCACCTAGCCGCCGAGCTTCGTGGTGGGGCAGGGGTGGTTCTAAAAAATCGGCGCCTACGCTTGGCCGATTTTTTCAGCCAAATCATGTAAATCAGAGGCAACCGGTGACGCCTAGTGTTTAGGCAGGCGCCTAGGTCGATTTTTAGTGCAATGCTATTTGTTGGTTATGTTTGTACATACTTGTCTTTCGAGACGAAAAAGAATGAACTACGGACGAAGATTCGATCAAACGAAAAAGGACTACGAATACAATCATCCAAGAAACTTAAACAAAGAATTTAAATAAATATCTAAAGTTTGAGGCACGTGAAAGATGGTCTTCATAAGATAATATTACTACTAGATCAAACGAAAAAAAAAAAATAAGAACACGATTTTCGAAGAAACTTAGAACAAAGAATTTAAATAAATAACAAAAGTTGAGGCACGTGAATGGTTTACATAAGATGACACTGCTACTAGAGTGGTTTACATAAGATGACACTGCTACTAGAGTCGTCAATACGGGCCAACGAGGCAGGCTGGCCGGTAGCCTGCCAGTTAGCGGGACGGCCTAGCCGCTATCATGTTGGGCCTTAGAAATCCAGGCCCAGCCCGTTCCCGTCTCGAGCCGCAGTTTGGTGGGCCAAATATGAAAAAAATAAAATAAAATAACACTTGCCATAAATCTCTGTTTTAGTCCCAGCTCTTAACACATATCATATGACAAATTTCACAAAGCCCATAGGACGAGACATCGGGTTCTGAGAATGTCTAGAGAAACCCGGAGACGGGCCTTCTCCGAACGGAAGCGTCTTGGCCACATGTCATCAAAATTCTTCTCAAAGTTTTTTCAGGAAATTTCGCCGGCCACAGCTGTGGTGAACACAACGTTTCGCACGAAAGTCCTTACTGATGGCGCTAAAATGGTATGCAATGACTCTCGACCGGCTGGAATCGGCCTGCTCACGAGCTTCCTCGCTGGTTGAACTCCTTAGACTTGCAAAAAACTCTCACGCCGGAGGAGGTCTTCGGTGAAGAGCCTCCGATGCTTAAATGAGTATGCGTATAAAAGATGAAGTACAAAGAGAATTATTTGTATAACATGTATAATGAACGTAATGCTGAAAATCGCACGTCTCACCCCCTATTTATAGAGGTGAGGTACCTGTTTGTAGAAAGGTTGTCAGGATGTGGTGAGCTGGCTACCCAAGCTGCCCGATAGTACAACCCACACTGCACAGTGTGTCAGAGACACTTATGGAGCATGGACCAATCAGGTGGTGCCGCGTAATTTTACCCATGTGGGGGTTTAATTCCTCTAAGATTCCTTCTTATCCTTTAGTCATCTTCATTAGACAGTCTAATCGTGCATTGACCCTCGATTACCTCGAGGTGAAGTGTTACCAACATCGAGCCTTGATGTCCTTCTCATCTCTGGTCGATCCTTCGACCAAGTACTCTTTCGAGTTTAGCTTTCCCCAAGCCCCCCAAGGGCCTTCATTCGACCTGCTGGTGTCCTTTGTGTCGCCAGTGCTTTCTTCGACCTGAGGGTCTTTTGACCCAAGGAATCTCCATTCTCCATTCGACCTGATGACCCATCTAGCTCGATTCGGTTGTCTCTTTGGTCTTGTTGACCTGGTAGGGTTATCCCATATCACAATTTTTAAAAAACTGTACGGTTGAGTTATTGATAAATCAAATTATTCTAAAATAATCATCGTGATTAAATGATTTTTTGAAGATAGGTAAAACAATATTTTAGTATATGGTTGATTACTAAATTAATAAGAAATCACCGTGATTTGTTATTAATTTTGATAAATAATTGTAACATTGTGATAAATAGCATAATAAATATTTTTCATAACTGATTTTCTAATTTTATTTTGTAATTATATTTGCAATTTTATTGTGCATTTTCAAACAATATTTTCTAAAAAGAACTATTTAATAAATTATTTTTTGAATACATGTTGTATGGTTGGTTACCAAAAAAATAAGAAATTTAGTGATTCGTAACTAATACGATGAATCGAATTTATATTGTGATAATTACAACAAAGTAAATTTTAAAATTGATACCACTTTATTTATATAGAAAATCGTTCTATTAAACGAATTGCATGATTTAAAACAAGTACGTATAATTTGATTTTTATTTTTTTATTTATAATATTAAAGTAATTTTTACTATATTTCCTTTAATAGTAAGTCAACCTATTTAATTACAAAGTCAAATTTATTATTTTAAATTATTCCATCAACCTCTTTAAATATATATTGACAGATATAGATATATGGCAATTAATAAATGGATAAATGAATGAGAAATCTTTCAATATATATAGATAGATATAGATTTAAGGCAATTAATAAATGGATAAATGAATGAGAAATTTAAATTACGGAATACTTTGAAATTTGTGTGTGACCTCAAAAAAATATACATACCAATATTTTTGTGTCTATACTTTGATAGGATACGTGAAATCTATCTTAAAGTCAGTATTATGTTTATTCAACTATTTAATATGTTCGTTTAGTCCAATATTTAATTTCTAAAAATAACTTAATATGATCGTTTATTGTAATATTTAACTTTAAAAAATAATTTTAATATTATTTCATGGATATACACTAGTTGAGATTTGAGTTCTAAAAAGAAAGTTTATAAAGTTAGCGATAAAGTTACTCTTAGAGTGTATGCACTGTTGCGCTAGAAACGGCACGCTACTCTCTTCTAGCGCAAATATTCAGTCCAGTGCTGCTTTAGATATCTGCGCTACTCCACAGATAGCTACAGTGTTGCGCCACATCTGGCGCAACACTGTAGCAACGCCAGATATTTGTTTTTTTTTTTCTTTTGTTGAATGTATTTTAATGTAATGTTTATCCCGAAACGATAGGTACTATTATAAATCAAAATGCACAAATGTGCGAATACACAACAACCAATGTTGTAAATATTTTTCTGGAGTAGAATCAAAAGATTCGAACACCGGGTCGTGTCTCTCGAGGAAGGTTAGCCGGATTATTATGCACGTTTATTCAACCACACAAAAGAAAATAAAAATTCCTAAACATTCTAATTCTGATGATTTGGTTTGATTATTAACTACGAAGACAAAAACTTCAAATAAAGCAAATAGAAATAGCAAGCAACGACGAAGAACAAGTAGGATTTAAGGAGCTAGGTAGTCGGGGATATCCGTTTTGGTTTAAAAATGTAATTGTCAAGCAAGAGATTGTTCGGGTAAGTGATTTGACTAATCGACACGTTCAAGCACTCATTCTCAATAAATTTTCGTAACAAGAGAACAAACTAGAACGACAAATTAACAATTTATTTAACTTCTAGGCAATACAGTTACGAACAAGCCTAGTTCATACGAGCCTATTTCGACCGACTCCTCCCCTTTCGGTTCTAAGAGTCGATTAAAGTAGACTAGAAAGGGTTTAATCAACTAGTCCGTATAGAATAACCAACATCAAGCAAGAATAAATCGAACTCAATTGCAAACAATTGGTGATTGAAGTGTCACCCTTCAACAATTCTAAATACTCGAGCCCGACAATTGAAAAACCCTAGAAAAAGATCAACTCGTATGAAATTGAACAATCCTGAGCCCGACAATCACAAACGATATCAAAACATCAATCCCCTATCCCTAGCATATGGATTTAGCCAATCATAATCGGTTCAACACCAACAATCTCAACAATCAAGACAAACATATTCATAGATTAAATGAAAACAAAATCTTACGAGTGATGGAATACCAAGGTTGAATACGATAAACAAGCTTAATCCGAAAGCAATAGTGAAATCCGAGTTCAAATTCGTGTTCTACGATGAAAAATATGAAAGGAAGATGAAAAACGAGAGAAAAGAGACGAGAGGGTCTCAAAACCTAGCAAAGAACATCCTCAAAAACAGATCTAAAATCCGAACTAAAAATCCTGCTCGTCGCGACCTCCTCGGCCGAGACTACTCCTCTGCGGCCGCGGTGAAGAAAGCTCGCGGCCGCGACCATCCCCGAGGCCGCGAGATCATCTGGCCAGAAGTGGGACGTTTTGGGACGTATTGGGACACTCGCGTCGCGGCCGCGGTGAAGAAAGCTCGCGGCCGCGACCATCCCCGAGGCCGCGAGATCATCTGGCCAGAAGTGGGACGTTTTGGGACGTATTGGGACCCTCGCGGCCGCGGCGACTAAAACTGGGCGCCGACTGGATTTTGTTCGCCTCTTCACTTTTCGGGCTCGTTTATACTCGTTTGGACTCGGAATTCGATTCCGTTTTTTCCTGCTTGTCGCCAACGAAACCCTCTATTTTATTATGCTTGCACGACCAACGTATGTCAAAAATCCGATCCTCTGGGACTTCTAACCTGCACACCAACGACGACGAAAAACCGGGAAAACACCGAAAATCACAAGAAAAACTAAAATAAAGTGAACCACGACATAGACTACAAAACGACCTAAAAAACAACTAAAACACCTAAAATGGGGAAAAAGATAAAGACTAAAAGACAAAGAAATACGCAACAAAAATGGGACAAAGAGCCAACAGCTGAAAAAGTGGGAGGACAGGTCAGAAGACCGCCTAGAATCCCGGCTAGTAACGCTAGAAAAAAAACACTCGAAACTAAACTAACTAACAACATAAACAACTAAAACAAATTACAAGGACCCCAATAGGATAATACCCGAGTGTCGGATCCCAACAGGATAAGAAGTTTGACACTCGTGCTCACAGGGGCCAAAGACCCAAACCAAAAACACAATACACTCGCAACACAGATACGGACACATAAACAAAAACACAAGAACAATAACATAAATAAACTAAAATAAATCTAACAGTCCTTCCTCAACGAACGAGCTAGCTCGAACCAGCAGTGAACGATCGACACAAGACCAATCCAGGCCAAGAACCTACTACCGAAACTGCAATCAAGCCTATACAGCAGCAGAACCCTCACCCCAAACCAGTCCCCGAATCGACCCATCGAAAACCGAGAGAGCTCATAATCACCACTCCGATTCCCTCCGAACTCTTCTAACACCTCTAGACGAGGCCGATGGAACCTCCCCCGCCGCCTAACACCACTAGGCAAACGGAGGATTGAGCAAGAAGAAACGACCCTCCCCCCGACCGCCGCGACAAGGAACGCCACGGTAATCAGAGTCCAGCCCCTCCCAATGACTCGCACTCCACTCGTCACCACCACGGACAACCAAAGACAAGCAGCGGGCTCCACCAGAAAAGTGCAGTGCAGCCGGAAAACATCAATACCCGCAATCGCGGACAATGGGCAGAAAACAGAGCTAACCGTCACATATCTCAGCACCTCCGGTGACTGAAAGGAGATTCCAATCGCCGGCCTTACTTCGACCTCGAGGTGCGCCACCGCCGTCCTGAGCTCCATTTGCAACCACGAACTTGACGCTCCGTCAATGGCCATCTGAAACAGTAAAAGGGGCGCGCATCGCCAGGGGAGGAGCGAACGGTGGATGACGACTACTAGCCGAGCTTTCCCGTCGCCGAGGAAGGCAGATTCGCCGTAAAGAAGAGAACCTGCAAGCGAAATTGGGGTTTCGTCGCGAGAGAGAAATTGAATAGTAAATGGGTCAATTTTTAATGTGTATTAATGTCAATTTTTAATGTGATGTTAATGATAATTTGTTGTATAATGTGTATTAATAAATGTATTTTATATTAAATAACTTTGTGTAATGTATTTCTTATGCTAAATAATTTGGCTATTTATTGATGTATTATAATCTTACTTTGTAATTTGTTAATATTTAAATGATACGTATAAATAAAAATTTAACACGGTCAAACAAGAAGATTTCAGTAAAATCGAAAGTTTAACACACGTAAATTATAAAATACACAAATAAAAATAATATAATATAAAATATTCGTATATATACCAATTTATTTGAAAGAATAATAAATAAAATATAGTTTTATTATTGGAGTAATAAACATTTATATAAGATTAAATATATATACCAATTTATTTGAACTAAAAATAAATAAGACATATTTTTAATATTTGGGTAATAAAAAATTGTATAAGATTATATATATATAATATATATATATATACCAATTTATTTGAAATAAAAATGAATCCTCCTATACATTATTTTTAATGTACATGCTTCAAGATCCTATGTGACAGAATTACATGCTTCGTTATTACTTCAAATCCAAAAATAATTATGTCCAGATTGTCCATAAATATGTTGATTATTTATGGTTATGTTACATGTAATTAATTGCATTTTAATATCATTTCTTATTATATAACTATTGAATTGTAAATGTATTTTAAAAGTTAAAAACTTTTGTATTTTTTATGAGGTTTACATATATAATATATCAAATTAATCATCTCTTGATAAGCACCGATTTAACATTCATACTGTATGTATAAAATTAATAAATGATATCTATTAATATATAAAGAGGGAATGATAGCTGTTTGAAAAAATCAACTAAAAAATCAACAAAAAAAAAAGATTTCAATTCCCACATAAATAAATACTATAATGAAGATTTTTTTTGGTAGAAAATTGAATATGCCCGCCAGTTGTTAATTCGAATTTTTTGGAGATTTATTTATTGATTTCGGTTTATTTGGACTTATCTATTTCTACAATCTGATTATTTTAATCCAAAATTTGAAGAAAAAGATCTGCAGCAAAAGGACAAAGGAGAAAAAAAAAGGGAAGATAAATTTTCATCCCCAAATATTACTTGAAGATTGCTGGCTTTTCGGCAACTCGCTTAACCATAAATCAAGAATGCTCAAAAGCCTTTCCGAGCCTTGCACTTCCTCAGACTTCGCCATAGACGAAAACTCGCCAGGGAAATCCTACGACGAGACCTACTGATCGATCGAGAAATTATCCATTAGCGAACGCAAAATCGAGCATCCAAGTTTGATCAAGGCACCTTCAGTCCCATCTACCCTGGAAAGAAAGGATCAGAAAAGTGACCCTCAGAGGAGCAAAAGATCAAACAAAAATAGAAAATCAATAGAAAATCGTCGAGGGGTGGTCTGAACCTGGCCCCGTCCCTACCGATTAGCCTCGAGCCCGAGGAGTTTCAAGATGAGGAAATTGAGTTCTCAATGGGGAAATTGATCATGTAAACTTCTATGAAGAACTCGGATACTCTGCCTCCCAGGACACATTCTACTAATAAGGTAAAAAAGCAAAAAATCTTTCACGGATTTTGTGAAACACTTGGCGACAAACAAACAAAATGAAAAAAAAAATGAAAAAAACATGCATTTTATCACCAAAGACTGAACCTTTTTTCCACAATTTTCACTCCCAATTTTTGTGTTTTGCAGAGTTTAACACCAATTTCGAGCATAACAAGGCAGATATAAAGAAGAATACCTGAGGTGGAGAGTAGTAAAATTGAGGGCTCGGAGGAGTCAATCAGGCCCCAACGTCCCATTAATCAGCTGAAATCACATAAAAGCTTAATCAACCTGGAGTACGAGGAATTGCAGGGGTTTAAGGATTTGGGTTTCGATTTCGACGAGAAGGAGCTGAGCCCGAAGGTAATAAGCACGATCCCGGCCTTGCAAGAGAAAAGGGATATTATCAAAGAGGATGAAGGGAAGAGCGCTAGGGCTCGAAGGCCATATCTATCGGAGTCTTGGGGGCGCACAGAGCTATTCTGCGCCGCCGGTGCCGAGGTGGGGCGGGAAGCGGCCGGCGGAGGACGTAAAGGCGCAGATTAAGTTCTAGGCTAGGGCGGTGGCGTCTAACGTGCGCCAGGAGTGCTGATCGATAGTCGGCAGGGCCAGAGCACATAGGATTCCTGATTCCCTCAAATTTAGGTACAGTTTGGTGAAGGAGATTTGAAATCGAGATGGAAATTATTTTATTTTAATGATATATTAAATAATGTTCTACTGATAAAAAAATTTTATGGTCCATAAATTTTAGGGACATACTATGGTCCGTTAGACCGTCTCCAACGGAGTGGCAAAACACAAAAAATGGGGTAAACTCTTTAATGGTACTGCAAACTGAAACTCAAAATGGGTTTTTGAGTTTCTCTCTCTTGACTTTGAAGCAAATTTGTGGAAAAAAATGCGTTTGCACTTCTATTATTCCAATTCAGTCCTTCTTTTTAATTTTAATTAACAAAAGGATTTAAAAAGTAAAAAAAAAAATATTGTATGTGGAATGCGAAATTGGAAGGTACACATGGGTGATGTTAAAATAATGATGGCATTAAAATTTTATATGTATCAAGTATCAACATTTTAATAACAAAATTTATAATAAATTGAAATAATATAACTTTTCTATAATATAATATTTATCAACATTTTATGTATGTGTATATATTATATTTAGTATTAGAAAAATTATTGTCAAGTTAAATATTGTTTTTTTTTATTTTTTATTATTATATATTAGTATATTTTTAACAAAAAAAAAATTACAAACAATATTAATAGTGTAGTTTAATTTGTAAAGTTGTAAAATATGTGGGTAGTATTGAAAAGTTGTAAAAGTTCATGTGAAAGAGAATATTCCGAGAATATTCTTTTGAGTTTGAAAAGGAGTTTTTTGGTTGGAGATGAATTACTGCCAAATGTGACAGTTACTGCAAAGTGGGTTTGAGTATGAGATTTTCGGTTGGAGATGGCCTTACAGAACCTTCTTAGTTATAAAATACTATGGCATGATTGATATAATGGAATAGAATTTCGTAGGAATTGAATGGATTGAAGAATGAAATGATTATGAGAATGGAATGAAATAAGTTTTGTCATTGATGCGTTTAGTATGCAGAAGTATGCAGAAGGAACATGAGTTGAATGGAATGACATTATCATTTTTTATTATAAAAATAAATAAAAGCTTTTTTCTACAAAAATAATGTACTTTTAATAAATTATATATAAATACTTTTTTAATAAATTATATATAAAAATAAAATAATATATTTTTAATAATATATAAAAATAAAATATTTTTTTTATAATATAAAAAATAATATATAAAAATAAAATAATATATTTTTAAATTATATATAAATGCTTATTTTAGTTTTATTTTCATATAAGTATTTAATATATCTAATTAAAAAATAAATAAAAGTAGTTTTTAATTTTTTTATTTGAATTTTTTTAAAAAAATAATTTTATTTAATATATTTTAATCATGATTTATAATATATATTATATATTTATTTTTTTATTATTATTTGTTAATTTTGTTTATTGAAAAATTGATTCCTACACAAATGGGAATGAGAAAACCTTCCATTTACTATGGAATGACTAATCCCATGGAGATGGGTTTTGCCATTCCCATTGGAATGGTCATTCCTTCCCAAAAAATATACCAATCATGAGATAAGGAATGAGTAAGGGAATGATCATTC